AGAGTCTTGCCTGGTTTACAGAGGAGCCACTTACTTGCTCCCTTACCAACAAGTCATAGTTTAGAAGACATCCTCTGCCTTTGGACTGATCAGAGCTGCTGATCTCTTGAGTCCCTTCCCACTCTAAAATGCCCAGATTTTCACTACCTCACTCCCTCCTTCCCCAAGTTTAAGCAAGTATAGGGGCAGGTGGACTGGGGATAGAGAGAGAGGCTAGCAAAGAAACCACTCTGGGGATTCTCAGAATAGGGTGGGACAGAAGAAACTCTGTCCTGTGGATGAGTAGGGAAAGCTCACTGTCCCCAGGGTGAGCCTGGGTAGAGACACTGTCCTAGTTTGTTTCTCCACTGCAGACAAAACACTCTAACCAATACCAACTTGGGGAGGAAAGGATTTATTCAGTTTACATCTCCCGGGTCACAGATCATCAGGGAGCCCAAAGTAGGAACTCAGGGCAGGAACCTGGAGGCAGGAGCTGGAGCACAGGCCGTGGAGGAGCACCCCTTACTGGCTTGCTCCCCTGGCCCCTCATCAACCTGCTTTCTTTTCTTTTTTCTTTTGACTGTCCAAAGTTGTTTACTGGGTATGAATTTTACAAACAGGACTTGTATTAGCGGTAAAGGTGGAGCTGCTGAGTGTCGTACAGTCTCCTGGCTGCGGGGTGAGAACCACCAATAGTGTGGTGGAACTTGTGGCCCTTTCCAAGGCCACAGCTCTTGCAGCCTGCAGATGTCAGCCCACGCCATCTCCCTGTGCTTGTGGACTGGTCTGGTGATCCAGTTGTTACAGCTGTGGTAGGTATTAGTTTTTTGTTTTGTTTCATTTTGTTTTTTGTCTTTTGAAGCAGGGTCTCCCTGCAGCCCCAGCTGTCCTGGAACTCACAGAGATCTGCCTGCCTCTGCCTCCCAAGTGCTGGGACTATAGGCATGTGCCACCATGCCCGGCTAGGTATTAGTTTTAAAAGCTCTCCCAGCTGCCCCCGGATCCAACTGGCCTTGCCCTGCAAAGCCTTCCTCTGCTGGGACCTGCCCACCAGGTCAACCTGCTTTCTTAGACAACACAGCCCACCTGCCTGGGGGTGACACCACCCACAGTGGGCTGGACTCTCCCACAGCACTAAACAATCAAGAAAATTCCCTGACAGACATGGCCACAGGCCCAACCAATGGAGGCAATTCCCCAACTGAGGCTCCCTCAGCCTAGGTGTGTCAAGTTGACACTAAAGCTACCCAGCACAGACACCCAGAGTGATTGACGAACTCCAGCTTGAAGAGCCTCTTGCACACTCTCACCTGCTGCTAAGTGTCACTTACCTCCACTTTGTTTTTCGAGTACCACCTGGAGATCTGGTCCGGTCTATGGCCTGGGAAGGGGACATACTCTTTCCTGTGAATACACTGGGGTGTGTGCTCAGTGGCTTTGGTGAACTGGAAAAGAACACACATTCAGGGAACCTCTGAGATGCTGTGCCACACGCCCTACAACCCCCATCATAAGATTGGCAGAGACAGGGCAAACTGGGACTCAGGACACCAAACTACACAGGAAGGGTATGAGCCAAGGAGCTGCAAGCTGTCCGCACCCTCAGAAAGCTGCTCCCGACTCACCTGGCCACCTCCTCATGATCTTTCCTGCCCCCTTTCCTAATTTTCTTTCAACACTTCTCTTTCCTTCACATCTCTTCCTTTTTTCCTTTTACAAGCTTAGCTTTTTAGTTGTTGTTTGTTTGCTATTTTTTGTTGTTTAACCCTGTCTGTTTACATCTGTAACCAAGGCTGGCCTTGGATTTATGAGCTTCCTGGGCACTCAGTTTCTGAGTGCTGAGATTACAGGAATACATCACCATGCCTGAAAATTTTTGTCTTTTCTTTTTTTTTTGGACAGTCATGAAGCCCAAGCTAGCCCCAAATTCACTATGTAGCCAAAGATGACCTGGAATTTCTGATCCTCCTGCTTGTCATGCCTGATTCTACAAGGTGCTAGGGATGGACTACAGACCTTCCCACATGCTAGGTAAATGCTTTGCCAACTGAATACATCCCCAGCCCAGTTTCAGTCATTTTCAAGTGTACAGTTTAACAACATTAAGTATGTTCACAATGACGTGCAACCCAAACCACCATCTGTTAGGGTTCCAAACAGCAGCAGTTTCCCCTCTCCCCAACAGGGACCTCACCTTGACCTTTGGAGTCAAGGGAAACAAACTCTGCTGAGAAGCAGCCTGCCTCTCCTCTGACCTCCAGGATAAGCAGATTCTACCTGATAACCAGAGATTTTAGAAGCTGTTTTTCTCTTATCTTAAGAGGGAAAAAGTAAACACTTCCACACCCTAATCCTACCTGCTTCCCCCCCCCCCATTTCTCCCCCCAACCCTCCCCCCCCCCCACCCC